CGTTCTCTGGAGTGACGAATCGCGCTTCTCCATCTGGCAATCTGATGGACGGGTCTGGGTTTGGCGGTTGCCAGGAGAACGGTACTTGTCTGACTGCATTGTGCCAAGTGTAAAGTTTGGTGGAGGGGGGATTATGGTGTGGGGTTGTTTTTCAGGAGCTGGGGTTGGCCCCTTAGTTCCAGTGAAAGGAACTCTGAATGCTTCAGCATACCAAGACATTTTGGACAATTCCATGCTCCCAACTTTGTGGGAACAGTTTGGAGCTGGCCCCTTCCTCTTCCAACATCACTGTGCACCAGTGCACAAAGCAAGGTCCATAAAGACATGGATGACAGAGTCTGGTGTGGATGAACTTGACTGGCCTGCACAGAGTCCTGACCTCAACCCGATAGAACACCTTTGGGATGAATTAGAGCGGAGACTGAGAGCCAGGCCTTCTCGTCCAACATCAGTGTGCGACCTCACAAATGCGCTTCTGGAAGAATGGTCAAAAATTCCCATAAACACACTCCTAAACCTTGTGGACAGCCTTCCCAGAAGAGTTGAAGCTGTTCTAGCTGCAAAGGGTGGACCGACGTCATATTGAACCCTATGGATTAGGAACGGGATGTCACTTAAGCTCATATGTGAGTCAAGGCAGGTGAGCAAATACTTTTGGCAATATAGTGTATTTCCAGATTTGTTCCAAATAAAAGTCTGGAAATATGTGTGTAGTAACTTTGTAATAAGGGGTTTAAATAAATCAGATTATTGTAGCACAGGTGTCAGCTAAAGTGTGACATCCACCTTAGGGTAGGGAAGGCCACTGGTGGTGTTGAAGGCAGGAAGCAGTCGCCGGCCCAGCTCTACAGCCATATGAAGGAGCTCATCCTGATACCACTGCATCCTCTCCCCTCGCTGCCGGAGCAGGTCCGCCATCACATGCCCCCCTAAAAGCCCACTAGACACATATTTTCAATAAGATAAATAACATGATAAGAGGCCTTCAGAATTATAAAATAATTTTAATTTTATACCCTAAAACTCTGATGTTGGTCTCAAACACAGACACCACCACATCATTGTCCAAGCGGACGTCCTCCACAGCCTTCTTCACTGCATCCTCAAACTCGTCCAGCTTGTTCAACACCTGTGCACAATGCAAACGTGTGAAAGAGTTAAAATAACTCAACCGCCAAAAGGAAAGTAAGAGGAATAAACTCATCGTTATGCTGGTAAACAGATAAAAAGGAGACACATACCACTAGTGTATCTAGGGTGTCGATCAGCGTGAGGGAAAACCTGCAGAATATGCAGAGCAGTTAATGAGATGGTGAAAGGAGGTCATGTTACTTTTCTGCTGAATAATGTCACATTTCATAACTTTTGGGCACATTGATTAATCCATGTCCATGATTTATTCCTTCATATTGATTTCAATCCCACAAGATTTCATCTCGTCATATACAATTATGAGTTTGCAAAAAGATTGCAAGAAATTGCTAGTCTGGGTTCCTGATCTCTTTAAAAAATAAACCCCTGGTAAATTATTCCCTAAATTATGATTTCTTCAGTTTTTTATATTCAATACAAAATAATATTAATTAAATCATACTATGTATTTTCACTTTTTAGCATTAATCAAACACGTTTAATCAATAAAAAGTTTAGAAAACTTTGCAAATGTATTTGACAAACGGTACAGACTGAATAGACTAAATTAATTTCCACCAAACAGTCCTGTTGCTTGAAGGAACCATGAGGCATTACTTGATATTTTAAGGCATCAAATCCCATAAAATAAGTGTCCTTACTTCCCCAAGGAGTCATCAATGTCGCCTCTGCTTGGTTCTTCTCCACGGACTCTCCCTTTGCAGCTTAGAGGCATCAGCTCGTCTGCTGGATAGGCATATTTCTGCAACAGCAACAGCTGCATTTAGAGTTGCCACGACCATCATATAATCATTCTACTCATAGTATTTAGGATATTACCCATCTGCATTCTACTCTTATAGCTGTTATTTATTTGTATAAAACAAATGTAAGGACCTTATTTACATCTTATTTGAAAGCTCAAAACTGATGGCAACTAATTAAGGAGTTGGGGTCTTTACCCCTGAACCAATTAATGTAAGATCTCTCTATTATAAGAGAAAGACACCCACTCCACAATGACTGCACATGCATAAAAGTTAAGGGCACAATTTTTTAAATCTGATGCCCGAACAGCCACAAATTAGTGTAAGCTGTTTGTTGCTAATATTATAAAGAATTTTGAAGCAGTCCTGGTTTAAAGTGTGTGCTGCATTACACCATAAATGGGACATGTTTGTGATCTATTAAGGAGTGTCATTTCCAAATAAGAAATCCTCTTTCAGCAATTAAAGATGATTGCTTTGTGAAACTATTAATTGATTATTTATATTTGTATTATATTCTAGATTTTCCAATATAATGGTGAACTCACCAGTTTCAATCTTTACATGTTTCTCCAAAATATTGTCTTTGCATTTTTCCTTTACATTCATCTTTGTACATATATTTGTAGCTTTCAGTTTCTGGCCCAGCTGGTTGTTTTCCAAGTTATGCAGATAATGCTTTCTGAAACACTCTGAACTGGTTCTAGGTAAAACAAATCTAATAACTTTTCCCTCTTCAGTAAACTAAGCCAGAACATAAGTGATCTTAAACAGATCTTTAGTCATGCAGCTTCTGATGCTACAAGTAAACAAAAGATTGGAAAAAAAAACATTGTCCTTACCATGTAACTTCCATAGGCATGGTCAAACATTTCAAGAATTTGGTTTCTGTAAAATAAACAACAATATAACATGAAACCAGGCGCCTTTTCCAGATTATTCCAACTATTTAAGGTCTTTTATGTACAGATTAGCTGTGTTTGCATAGGTTTTCACCTGATGTTGGTCTTCTCTTCTGGTGTCATGCTCTGGTTCTCTAAACATTTCACCCAGCTAAGAAGACTGGTGATCACAAGCGTTTTTAGCATCATCTCGATGGCAAAACAGATGCTTTGTTTCCTTAAAGTTTTATCACCAAGTCTCCTCTTATGTTCTGACATAAGGTTAATCTTAAATGGGAGCAAACAAGCTCCTCTCTATCCAACACCCACGCAAATCAAACAGTCCAGCTGGCACGGCTGTCCTCCATCAGAACCCAGCTCATCCTCTTGCTTTGGGACCAAAATGGCACAGTTTTAACTACCTGCCAATTTCCATTCTCCCCAGCTTTGTTGTCCTATTCTTTGTCGAATCTTAATAGGAACACCTAATGTAACGTCCATGTAAACAAAGAAGGAAGGGAAACAAGTGAAGAATCCGAAAGAGATTAACTAAAAATATCTAACCACCATATAAACCACAAAACAAGAAGATACACGCCTAAACTAGCAAACTGAAAGCAACGGTTGACAGTTAGAGGCTCCTCCAGCTGTTGGGAGGCTCCCCGATGCTAGCCCGTTAGCCATGCTAGTTAGCAAACAAGCTTATTAATAAAACAAGTAAAATAAGTTGGACCTAATTAATCCTGGAAAAAAAAGAGAAAGGAATGCAGTTGCCGTCGTTTTTTCCAATAAAAAAAACCTTGGTAGGTTTACAGTCAGCGACGCGAAGCTAAGAAGACCAAGCTGTCAAACAACAGGCTACCCCGGTGTGGAAGGAGCAAACTAAGCCCCGAGTTTGTCTTTCAGGCAATCTCAGTGCCACGTAACACCGGAGCGAGTCCGTCACATTTGCTGTTTCCCCCTTTTTCGTCAACTGTTCTTCAATAAATTTCCCACATGTTCACGGTAATTCTGATATTAACGCCAACTTTACGTTTAGATATAATTAATGGTACTATTATCTTCATTTAACTTGTAGAAGATCCCCTTTTAGACTTTACTTAGGGTGTACGCTCAAAGGTAGTAGGTTCGCATCATGTGTCATGCGGCTTACCCCGGCTGACCGGAGTATGTGACTGATAGCCTAAGCATAGCAGCATTTTATGAGTCTAGAAACGTTATGATAATGTTCGTGCCTTAAATTATATATCGCCAATAATCTATTAATTTCTGTAAGCTCATTGGTTATAAAATCCCTAAAAATTAGTCTCTGATATCGTTCCGCTTCGTGTACCATTAATGGCCTCTGACGCCGCATCGTCATCACCCCGGCACGACACCGGCAAAACGTAACCGAATGCACCCACAGGCCGCTGCTGACAGCATTGGCACTAATATATTCTAATTGGAATGCAGCCATACACTAAAGGAAAAAATAGCTAATGCGTGTATGCTAAATTGGAGACCGGGACATAACGGACGTTTTAATGACTTCCCAATAGTTTCTAAATTTTAGCTTAGTAAAAAATGTGTCCGGTCTGCAGTGTTGAGAATTAACCACAAGGTGCCACTATTGTTCGATCGCGTGGATTTTTTTTTTTTTTTTAGCATCTTTGCAAACTTTTGGGTTCTGATATCCAAAAATTGTATTTTTGAACCGAAAATATTTACTTAAGAAGAGTGAAATTGAATCACCTAAGCTCTAACGTTGGCTCCAACTCTAAGAAGAAATATCTAAGGGCAGGTCCAAGAATGAGTCAGACAGAGGGAGGGGAAGGAAATGAAGAAATAAGACAAAATGTATTTCCCACATATCTTATCCGTGGGATTTCAACATTAATTTGGTGTGGAAATTTAAACAACGAACCAAACTCTGCTACCACTGATTTAAAAAAATATTTTATAAAATATACAAACATACAAAAAACATATAAAAATAGTTTCGAATATTACAATAATACATAAGAAACATCAGAGTTATTAAATAAAAGATGTCATAATAAGGGGGGATATAAAACAGTTAAATAATCACCAGTTTCTGAATCACCATTAATTAATTAATAGATTAATTTAATTAATTTTTTCAACATTTGCTTAAGCAACGTGGTTAAAGTTGACATCTTAACTAAGTAGATTTTTTTTTATTCTAATAAAAATAAATGTTTTGTCTCACAATGAGTTAAAGCTGATTTGCTCCAGAGAGGAGGAGTTTTATGATTCAGCACATAACGGGGGTGGCTCCCTTTCTCAACTTCTCTGAAAGGTGTGGCAGTCAGTCTGTACTCACTGCAAACGTGCTTTTCCATCAGCTTATCCTTCAAATCAGGTAAGAAACAAAACATGATGCAATTCCTTAATTTTTATCTTAGATTCACGCTCTTAAGCGTTTCTTGTGTTTCACGTTTGGTTTTGTTGCGCCTTTCTGCTCTGGAAGGATGTTTTTTTCTTTCTCTAGTATGGAGAAATCGATGTTACATTATTTCCTGCACTCCTCATAATGCACAGGATTTATTTTTATCTGAAAAACTTAAACCAAGAGAGATAAAGCGGATCAGTTAAAGAGTTATATTGATACTTATAAGATATTTGTTCCTCTTTCTAGGTCTAAACGTTTTACTCTACAATAAACAAAAAGCAAACACAAAGATGTCTGACTCTGTTTGGGTGAGTTTTTGAAAAATACCTGTTATTATTTAATCTGATGTTTTTGTTGGGAATAAAATGCAATTTCTCTCAACTTGTGATGCAGGATGATCTGGACCTGCTCTTAGATTCCCCCTCCTCACTGACTGCAACTGTAAGTTGAACCTACTTATTTACTTATTTAAACCTTCAGAGTTTACTTACAGTTATATTGAAAGAAATACGGTACTTTGCTGTCCACATATGCAGAGGTGTAGCCAGAAATTTTTTATAAGGGTGGCCAGGCATTAAACAATGTACACAGAGTGGGGGCCGAAAGCGGATAAGCACCAGAACCTCACGGTCAATCTACACTGTGCCAACAGGAAAATTAACATGTGCAAAACATCCATATTTTCTAAATAAAGACTAACTATACTTTCCTACAGCCTTTGCTAACAAATTGATTTCTGGGGCGTAAATCTTTTCCATTTTCATTACTTACCTACTTGTATGAATAAACATTCTACATAAAATTAATATTTACAAGCACTAATATCTACATAAATTGATTATTTGATAAGTTTTTATTAAAATTGTTATTTATCTTTGATTTCACTGAAGACTCCTAGATGTCTTTCTCTTTACCCCATAAAATATAAAATCTAGTTCTGAACAGAGCGTGAATTCTGTACTTATCGTCTTTGATGTTTTTATATTGATGTGTGTAATTAACCACAAAAAGTTTTGAATATTCCACTTGAGAGTATTACAGTTTATGGCCATCCTTAGCCAATCATTGGCTAAGGATGGCCATGGCCACCCCTGGCCCCCCATCTAGCTCTGCCCCTGCACATATGTAGGTTAAATATGAAGACGCAGCTTTTCTTTTTTTTCTTTTCTTTTTTTTATTGAATCAAAGCGGCCTTTTTTTATCTAAAAGAAACAACTTGTATTTAATTGCATTGCATAGTTGACTGGTACCTGTCTTATATATAATGTGTTGACTTTTTTATTCATTTTCTAGTCTAATGCAAGAGGAACTGTCAAGGAAAAGGCAAATTTTAAGGTGGACGAAGACGTTGCTGCTCTGAGGAAAGCCATAGAGGGGCTTGGTGAGTTATTAAGTTACAGGCATCAGGCTCTTTTATAGCTCTTTTGTAGATACACTAAATCACTAAAACAATTGGTAATAATTCAGAAACACATAGGCCCTATTTAAGAGACATAATGCAAAGTTCAAATGATTTTTTTTTTCCCAATAATTTCGATAAAATGATGCAAAATCTTTTTTTTTCTTGTTTCTTTAATCATCATAGGTACAACAGAAAAAACACTGATTGAGGTTCTGACTCAAAGAAGTAACGCCCAGCGTCAGCTTATCAGCGCAGCTTATCAGAAAGCCACCGGAAGGGTATGTGACTAGAGATGATGGGAGGGCTCAAAAAAGTATTCAAACCCCTTTGTGCTATCTTGGTTTTTGGTGGGATAGACCGACACAAATAAGTGAATAAATGGGGAAAAACGCTTCAAACACAAAACCTAAAAGTGAGACATGCATTTGTATTTATGTTAATACATTTAAACCACATTACAACTGTTTTTTTGTTTTCGTCTCTAGTAGCTTTGCTTATGCAAATAATGAAAGTTAGATTGAATTATATAACATATATACTGTTGCTTTTACGTAACTCATTTCATTGTAGCTCTGCCGGGGTGTTTAGAGTTCTCATGTTGGAGGATCAACCCGGTTTTTGCCTTTAACAGAGGCTAAAACCAGAATACTTACTTTTAACCAACTCCCCATTAACCCTAAACAGCTTCACCACAGCATAATGCAGCCAATACTTTGTTTCAGTGTGCAGTATCAGTTTCTTTGAGTTGGCAAAATAAAAATGAATAAACATAAATAAAGGGTTTTTATATTTAAAACTAATAAACAGAAAGTTGTTGTTTAGTTTTTTTTGGGTCTAATGGGAACCATATAGAAAATATCTTGTCATTTTTAATTTTGTATAATAGCATACACTCAACATATTTTATGTCTCTTATTAGACATTAGTGGCTGACCTGGAAGGTGACACCCATGGAGACTTTGAGGACTTGTTAGTCGCTCTGGTAACGCCTCCTGCTGTCTACGACTGTCATGAAGTCATGAAAGCCATGAAGGTGAGATTTATCACTAATATCAAAGCAAAATGTGCTTAACAGTTGAATTTAATGCACCAGGCTATGTTTTCAATCAGGTTTTTGGGGTCAAAAGAACACATGATCACAGTTTATTCCTAAATAAGTTATATTTGTTCATTAAGGCTTAGTTTTCACTAAAATATTGCATTTTATTTTAACATCCAGGGTCCAGGAACCACTGAGAGTACTCTTACAGAAATCTTCGCTTCCAGATCCAACAAACAGATTAAAGCAATGTCTGACGCATACATGAAAGGTGGGTCAATAAGTAAACTTAGTCACTGAAACTTCTCAGAAATATTTCATAGCTGGTTTAGAATGTGTTTTGTTTTTTACAAAAATGTGAAATTCGTCGGATTTTTTCATTTCATTAAAGAGACTGGAAGAGTTATGACTCATGATCTGAAGTCGGAGGTATCTGGAGATTATGGCCAAGGACTTCTCATCTTGGCTGAGGTACTGTAGATAAAACTGTAACCAGGCTGTGTTTGCGGCACTCCCTGCAGCAGCACATTTATTTAGAAGGTGGGGATGCATTAACCTGCCAAAGATATTGCTAGAATGGAACTATATCTAAACAGGCTGATTGCTGAATGCTTGGAAGGCAAAGATTTATCATCTAAATCCTCTGTTTAAAATTAACCTTGTGCAAGATACAGTAAATTAATAGGAATAACCAGAAGGTTGAATTCAGAGAAAATATCTCCACGTTTATTTGCAGATATATTAGACCTTTTAAGGTTAATTTTTGAAAGAGATGCCACCCCTTTTGATTGATCTTCACTGATTTAATGCCACATGCATCCATCTGCTTTTACAGGGAAAGAGAGATGAGAGCACCAATGTGGATGCAGCCAAAGCCAAAGCAGACGCTAAGGTAACCTTTAATATTTTTAATTAATGTCTTCTTCACTTAGGTTTCTGCCTTTTAAAGGTAGCTTTCCCTCTAGTGCTTTCACTGACAATTATTTAGCCACAAAGCCTGTGAAACCCTAAGAGGCCAACCTTGTCCCCCACAGGTGCTGTATGAGGCTGGAGAAAAGAAATGGGGAACGGATGAGGAGAAGTTCATCGACATCTTGTGCCACAGGAGTGTTCCTCAGCTTCGACAAAGTGGGTTTAGCTGTTATTTCTTCTCAATAAATATCCAGCTTAACTCATTTTTTTTTACCATCCATGTAAAATGGAAATCATGGGAAGGAATGTTATAAATAAGATTGACCTTTAATTATATTTAAGTATTCCTTTTTCAAAACAGGACAGCGTAGAATAATTGAGACGGTCATCCCATTTATTTGTCCCAGTGAGGGATAAATAATATATAAATGGAGAAAAACGCTAAACTCTTATTATTCTATTGATATAATTAAATTTTTCTCAGTTCAGAGACAAAATGATGCATAAGGGACATTCTAAATGTTCTAGGTTACTTTATTGTTGCTTTAAACGTATTTAAGTAGAAGTGATTTAGCTGGGCCAGTATTTAACCAACATCTGTCAAAATGGTACTAATAGAAAATTTATTCAGGACTCTTGAAGAACAGCCCAGGGAACCAAGAAGCCGTTTGTATTTACTCACATGTGGTGAGGGAGAGGGTACTAACTGGAAAAGAAGGTTTCCTTCTGGTTGGATAGAGAAAGAAGGAACTATTGGGTTCCAGCTAGAAGACTCAGCTACCTGCCTGTGGTCCGTGTGAATTGTCAGTGATCAACAAGGTCGCATAAGACGACAAAAGTTGGTCGAGACATATGAAGGCGTTCCACAGCGGTGGCATGATTCCTTAACATTCATCTGTACAGATGACTCCATTTAAGGGAAATTAAACAGGCTTACCCACAAAGTATTTCCAAGAAGAATTTTTACAACTGTGCAATAATTGACCCAAGTTGCTTAATCTTTCTCTGCATAATTGAGTTTAATAGTAATTAAGTCATTTTTTCTGTGGCCATAGTTCTTATCAATAAGAAGTATTGTAAGAACTAAGAAGTCAGAAGGCTTATCTGCAGCTGTAGTTGCTTATCTGTAGCTGAGGGAAAGCGGCTGGATAAGGTGATCAGGAAGTCCTGCTCTGTGATTGGATGCCCTCTGGACTCTGTGCAGGAGGTGGGAAACAAAAGGATCCTAACTAAATTAACCTCTCTGTTGGATAATGTCTCCCACCCATAGGCGGATCTACTGGGGTGGCATGGGGTGGCAAATGCCACCCTAAATGACAGCCTTGCCCCCCCAGCTGCCAGCCCAGTTGGCGGTAGGGGTGGCGAGGCTTATAAATTATGGATCATTTGAGAATTACGACCGCTAATTTCTAATGTCGGACTGCAGTGAATGCAGCACGAGATGACGCGAGAGCGACTGAGACTGATTGTTTTGAAAACCGAATGGGGCAAAGCGAGGGAGCCTGGGGTCACGGGGAGAGGAGAAACGGGATGAAACAGGTAAAAATTGATTAACTATCTATCGAGAAATGAAATCATAATGAAAGCACAATGTTGCTAGCATAGCTGCAATGCTGATTTTGAGATGATAAAAATCAGGTTGCAGAACGTTATTTCTCTAACTATAATGTTAGTTAGGCCTGACGTCTCAGGCTCATAAAGACATATTTGCGGTCAACTATGACAGAAAAGAGACGATCAAGTTTGGTTGAACTCAAATCAAATCGCACAAAGGCATTGGATCTAAATAAAGTTGTGAAGCGTTTTGCAGCAACATGGAAATAACTGCATTCAGCTGTTATAGTCATGTTAACTTTATGTTATGCTCTCTGGTGAACCTTTACAGAGCTGTTACATTTTGTTTTGGCACCTGAGAAAATCTGATATTTCCTTTAATAAAATCAAAAGTGTTAAAAGTTAAAAATGTGATACTGGTGTAAATCCTGCTTATTATGAAGCAGTGTTGTTGTTTCTTTTTTTGTATATATAATATGAAACTATCCAGAAATGACCTGTATGAACCTACTCACAAGCAAAATGTATTTTTATGTTGCTTCTTTTCAGATTTGTGGAGATTTTGATGTAACATACAGAACCCGCCTTTTTGTTGATTTGTTGATACAGCAGTATGGAGGACCAACTCTGCCATATTTAAAAATAAATACAGAAATAAATAAATGCTCAATAAATAAATAAGCATACAATTAATTGCCTCCAAAAATACAAACAACAAATAAATGTAAGTAGAAATTAAATTATACAGGTAGTCATAAAGGTATATAACTCTTTTTATTTCTTTACCTTTTTAATATTTACCTTATTAATTTTTTTGTCATTTATTATCTTCAACTTCACTTTTTAATTACTTATATTTTTAAGTATTTACTTATGTACATGTTATAATATTTTTGTCTGTTTTATTCTTCCTTTGTTTTTTTTTTTACCCTAGTTATTTCTTCGCCGCTATTTCTTTCTGCCTGCCCTTTTTCCATTTCTGCCTGCCATTATAATATAATTTCTAATTACATTTATTTGTTGGTTGTATTTTTGGTGGCAATTAATTGTATGATTATTTATTTATTGAGCATTTATTTATTTCTGTATTTATTTTTAAATATGGCAGAGTTGGTCCTCCATATACAGCTCTATCTACAGCATATTTACATGCATGAAATGTCCCTTTAATGTTGCCGTAACTGCTGTATGTCAAGTTACTGAGGAACAAATGGGGTAAATGTGTGTTCAGAGCAAACAATACATAGATGTCTGGTACCTTGTTCGGGTGCCTTGACCCATTTATTTCTACTGTGTAGTTATGCTCACTTTAGTCCAGCTCAGTCCATAGATCTCTGATAGGTAACTTTTTCTTTATATAGTTTCTTCTTGTGCAAATGCTGCAAAGCTGCCTCTCTGACAGTCAATCTCACACATCTGCGACTCAGCACCTGTGTCTTACCTTAATACCTTTCCTGTGATAATGCCCCTCTAGAAGTAGTGTTATCATTCTTCTATCTCCTATTAAGTGAGATCACATTGTACGATGTATTATTAATATGAACTGTTTCACATGAAACACTTACTGTACATACTATTCTCACCAAACTGTGATAACTGTGATTAAATTCAGTGTAAACAAATGCCATATGTTGCCACCCCTAAAAAATTCCTGCCCCCCTCTTGCCACCCCATAAATATTTTTCTAGATCCGCCCCTGCTCTCACCCCATACATAAAGCTGTTGCAGAGCTGGAAAGGTCCTTCAATGACAGCCTGCTGCACTCTAAATGCACCAGGGAGTGTTATCACAGATCCTTCCTCCCAGCAGCTTTAAGACTATAACCATCACTGCTTCCAACAACCTCAAAGAGTCATTAAATTCATGCTGATTTATGCAGTTTCTCTCTTGGTCACTTAAATAACATGCTGCTGTCATTTTGCACAGCTAATGTTGCTATTTTTCACACATCCATTACTGTAAAGGTGTCCACAGCCGTTTGATTTACTCTCCAGATACAGAACATTTATTTAGTAAAAACACTGTACAGTACTTATTTATTTTCCTAACTGTTACTTATTCTGTTATTTTTATACACTTTCTAAAGTCCAAATTATGTGACCACTTCTGCTATAACCTTTTATTGCTGGAACACCACAATTTCCCCATTGTGGGACAATAAAGGGATTTTCTATTCTATTAAAGGCATATCAACTTTTTTTATAAACCAATCACTGATATTGAAAAGTAAAAAAACATTTTTCTGTTGTGTTCCTTCAGCTTTGATCGAGTACAAGAACATTAGCAAAAAAACTCTGCAGGAAAGCATTGAGAGCGAGATGTCTGGAGATTTGGAGAAACTTCTTGTTGCCATTGGTGAGAAATTTTTAATAGCACAAATACAAGGCATCTTCATCTATTAGGATCCTTTGAATATTAACCTTGATTTATTCTCCATCTAGTTAAGTGTGTCAAGAATGCCCCTGCATATTTCGCTGAGAGGCTCTTCAAGGCCATGAAGGTAAAAATCAACTATTTAAAAACAAACAGCTACCAACTAAGTCTGATACATTTGTGCCAAATCAGCCTGTTATTGGTTGGTGGTGTGGAAAGGAATGTTAAGCCATGTTTTACTGTTGATACAAAGGCGGCAGGAAACTGAAGCAAAAAAATGGTGAAACTGCACATTTAAAGCAAAGTGCATTAAATAAATGAAATTTCTGAAGCAGTTTATGTCCTGCTTCATTCAGGGAGCTGGAACCACAGAGTCAACGCTGACGAGGATCGTGGTCAGTCGCTCTGAGATCGATTTAAAGGATATTAAAGCGGAATACAAGAAGCTGTTTGGATTTACCCTCTACAACCAGCTAGAGGTCAGTATCCCAGCTGGATTCAGTTTAATCATTAAGCTCAAATGCTTAAATGTCTGGTTTCTTTGTGTTTTTATAATTAAAAATTCACTAATTCCTTCTCTTTATATCTTTATGCATGTGCAGACGGAAGTGTCAGGTAATTACGGTGAAGCCCTCATGCAGCTGTGTGGCCATGAAGACTGACTTCTTCAATCATCCATATCCTCACATACAGCCTGGAGAAAGGATGACCCATAACCAACAGAAGATCTAATGAGTGCCAGATATTAACCTGAATGAATGGAAATAATCCAGACATTCTGTTTATTCCCTAAACAGGTCTTAATTTTCAATGATATTCTGTACTGTTAACATTTTGCAGTTGAGTGTTTTCAGCCATAATTTTTTTAAGTTATCGGGCTGAAAGAAATAAAAAAATATTCACAAATCAACATTTACAAAATAAAAATATTTTATTTAACAGTTTTGCTTATATTACTATAGCCGACACCGACGCAGGTCATCAGAACTTTATCACCTCCTTTCCGCTCGTCTTCTAGAGGCTTCTGGACTTCGATCTTGAACATAATCTGGAAGAAATCTCTGATGTGCCTCAGGAACTCGATCCTGTATAATAAAAAAATAAGAAATAGAGTTTATCAGATATGCATTAAAAACCTGCATATTTGGAGTCTCCTTTAAGCAGGGATGGTAGGTTCCTTTCTTCTCCTGTTGGATACAACTTTTTCAAAACAAAAATTTAAATATTTTTAGGAAAAACACTAACCATCCCTTTATAATCTTTGAACATTACCTGAGTCAGATGGGGAGTGTTTTGTGATGGCACTGCCAATCTTCAGTTATCATAGTACTGTACTTGAGAGGAACACAGCACCGGTACCATGATAGCTGAAAATGGACAGTTCATAGTTCGCTCCTTATGATGACAAGAAGAGCTACCAAATGCAGTTTGAACCCTTCTGTGGTTCATTAGATTATTTCAACTGTTTCCATTTTATATCCATTTAACCTCAAAGCATAAAACAATGATTGCTTCAGCCTCTAAACAAAAATACAAAGGGAGGTTTGGAAAAGATTATATGCTCCTTGCTACTCCTATTCGGTCACATTGAATCACAAACAAAGTGTTGTAGAGGGGATTTATCACATAGACCAGCATTAAACATTGCAAAATTATCAGATAAAAGCAAGATATGAAATGTTTTTTCAAACAAAAAGTTTTGCTTGAATTTGTGGATTTTTTGAGGAAAATTGAGAAATTCGCTTAAGTCTTGATTTTTAGGCTAATTATCTGCCTGCTGTAATTTAATCTGAGATGCAGCTGGTTTATGAAGGCATCAGAGGTCAGTTAGTGATCAAACAGCAACAGGAGGGCCAGCCTCATCAAGGATAAAGGAGTGGTTTGGTTGGAAAAAATTATGAGCTTTGAACATCTGAGAAAGAACTTTATCATCAATCATCTAAAAAAACATCCAAAACATTAAACTCTTTGATAGAAACATAATGTGAGGAGAAGGATGCATTTTTCCACCCAGCAGAAACAACCAATCTGGTCAAAAACTGCTTATACAGTAAGTCAGTGAAACATCAGACTTAAATCCACCAGAGAATATGGAGCCAAGACCTAAAAGAAGGACTTTCAGACACATCTGACTGATTTTGCAGAGAAGAATAGTTCTTATTTCAGTACCTAGATGTATAAAGTCACTACTGAAATTAATAGATACAAAAGATCTGCACCTATAACTGCACAGAAAGGTACAGAATTGGATTTAGATTAAATACTTTGTTGATCTATACCAAAAAATACCACTAAAATGTGTTGGAAGTTTGTGGCCAAATTAGGACAATGTTCAAAGCCTATGAATCCTTCAGCGGGGAGCTGTAGCTACAAAGATGCATGCATTTGTTTGGATTAAAAATACACAGTTATTAGAGTTTTCTTTTTAATTCTACACACCAGTAACTCTATCTGGTTGCATAAAATATTTTATGACAAATTACGACGTTCTGCTGTCGTAATATTTGCAGTTTGTTATTTAAAGTAGCCTCTCTGTGTATATTTATCATTTGTACTGTGACTGGGATTGTGTCACTGTGTGTGCATACAGTTGGTCAAGAACTTGAGGCAATAGAGGCGAGTGAGTGCGGAACTCAATGTATGTGAAAAGGGGCAAGATGACGTTTGACTCCCAGAGGAAAAAAAAAAACCTGGGATTTCCCTGGGAAAACAATCTGATCATCGGAGTAAACTAAAGCTAAAGCTCCAGCTTTATTTTACTCTAATGATCAGAGCTCAGAAAGCATTCTGATGCTGAGAAGTAGATAGAAACATTAGCACTTTTAAGGACAGGACTTATTGAGAAGCTGCATCCCGGGCGACCATCTGGCTTTGTGGTAGTTGAACGGTTTCTCAGGTAGATGGCGTCAAACTTTTTTTTTTATGTCAGTTCATACAGTAGTAGCCATTCAACATTTCCCCACTTTCCTTGGCGGGTGCTCTACAATTCCTTTTTAAACATCAATCTTTGTACTAAAATATTCTGTCATGATTTGCAGACATTAAGATCTAAAGAGAAGCGACATCTACTGGTCAGACCCTGTAATTTAGTGAAAGGGTGGAGTCAGAGTAAAAAATATGCACGCCCAGGTGAAGGAGGGGGTCACTCTAATGGCTGGAAGTTGGAGGGGATTTTGCTGGGAGTTGCAGGGAAGTGGGCTATAGGCTAAATAGGAACCCCAGCATCTTGTGTATTTAGAGTAAAAAATTACAACCTAAACACCATCAGGGTGGAGGTTTGGATAGTAAAGCCTCATTTTATTATAATCAACTGGATTTTGGTCTTTTTAGTATAAGCCTACAGCATGACTATATACCTTTAATGGTCCTGCTGCTGCGCGAGATGGCTTTCTGTCTGGAAACAGAAATCCATTTCAACTGTGCACACCTATTCCACCTTTTTAACTCCAAACACTTTTTTTAAAAACAGAATTTGAAGAACTTTCAGTTAATAAGGAATACATTTAGAAACAGCAGATAAGAGTCCAACTTTCTGCAGGCTTAAAATTCCTTCTTTTTGTCAGGGTAGGAGGATCAGGAAGTTCTGGATAACAGCTGCTTACGTGTATGGGGACAGCGGCCCGAGCAGAACCTTTGACACATCCTGTTGGCCAAGGGTCATCAGGAGCAGAGCCAGGCTCTGATTGGATGAATCCACACAGCCGCCCTAAAGAGGGGAGAAAAAAAAAAAAAAAGCTATTTTTTAGCAGTGAAAAACAGCAAAGTACGTCATGGAGGTGGGGATGTTTAGAAAGAGCTGACCATCAAATAATTCTGAGATTAAAGACAAACATGGATAAAGAAAATGTTAACCATTCCTTTGCACGTGTTTGTCATAGATGTGTAAAATTTTCCACCTGTATATCTCTTTGCCAAACGCTCCACATGTCTCACACACATCAAACATTCACAAGACAGAGAATCTACTCTGTGCATTCAAGTTTATACATGCCACAGCCGTTACTCAACCAGAGCTATGCAAAAATCCTCAATCCGTGAGAAGTGGGTCGTTCTCAATGGACACACCCAGATGTGTTTTCCAAACTATATTTGTGTTTGTTTTTTTCTATCATCACCCAGGAGCAGAGATCTTTACCATATCTCCAAATCATTTTGTGGTTCTAAAGAACTAGTTGGACAAAGTAATGCAGTCAATCCTGTGGCATCGTGACAGCTTGTCAGCAGAAATATGATTCAATTACGCAATTAGAACACTGAAAACATTGTGGAAGGATGACAACACTGTTATATTGTCGACGGCAGCCAAAGTGTTTGTTAATTGAATTAATTAAGCTTTAAAACACGTGCCACTGCTTCTCTTCCACCATTTTGTAAACATAGATATTGGTAATATTGCTATTTTTTGCTATATTATATATAAAGGCATTATTCATCATTATTTTCTATTTAATTTTGTAAAATAATGAAGGAATAAGCAAATAAAAGAATTACCATTTGACTAAAAATCAACTAATAGCTTAAAAAAATTTATAGTGACTAAAAAGCAAACAATTTGTCTCCAGGAATAAAAATCTGAGAAAGCTGTTCATTTCCACTTGCAGCAGAGCAAACTATGAGACTAGATTTGAATTCAAAACCTTCATTTTCACCCCCTGCCTGTGACTTTTGTGTAAGGAGGCCAAAAGTCACCACAAAGCTACTGATGGAAAAGCCCCTTAAGCCCACAGAGCGATATTATTTCTTTAAAAAGCAGAACTTTATGGTTAAAAAGTGATAAATTAATCAATCCTTTAAATCTGGTGCGACCAAGGTTGGTTTTAATATTTTATTAGTGAGCAGAAATGAGTTAAAGCCAAAGCATTTCTTACTAATCCTGGTTTAATATTTTTTTTAATATTTGGATTAAATAAAAAATCTAAATTAAGCATATCGAGATTGTGTAAAGAAATACAGAAAGATGAAGCTGTAATAGAGCGCGGCACTTACATCAGCTCCTGTTGAGTGTTGACGTTGCTTTAGAAAACAAGTTGTCCGCAGTGTTTGGACGGTGCGCTACTAGCTGGTTTTACTGATTAACCATAAAATAAACAGAAACATGGAGGGCACCCATGCCTGCCCCCAAACACTAATCCTGAACAGTTTTCTAAAATTAAGAAAAAACGTTTCCAATACCAGCTTTCACTGAGATGCTCTTTCTGCTGTTTCTGATTTTCTTTGCCAACTTTAGAAATATAAGAAAAGACAAAGGAAAAAATACTGAAACGTAAAACTAAACTACGTTCCACGAGCTTTAGCCTTTTTGAAACGGACACATTTCAAAACTTACCCCTCTGGAACGCAGCAAAGAGAAACTGGTTTGCCTTGCACTGTCGCCTGGAGTTAAGAGGATGCCTCAACAATATTCCTCTTTCAGAGTTAATGAGCGCTACCCTGACCAGCTAACTGGACTCACATGGCTCCGATGGGAGAGGCCTGAGCTTCGCAGCCGTGTGGGGAAATGCTAAAGACACAAGCCGTTATTGTAAACGCTCTGTAGAAGCTGCATATTTTACCCATCAACAAGCGAGGCGATCTGTCTGTATGTCCAGTTAACAAGCAGCTTAATGCAGCTGTGGTCCATGAAGCACAAACACACAGGTGGAGAGACTCACACATTTTTTTTCATTTTTGATATCTGCTCAATAGTTCCTGTTGAACAAACCAAGAGGCTGCCTCATAACATACAAACAAAACAAAAAAATCTCTAATCTGGAGCTTTAAAGGGGAACGCCATTTTTTTTTTTTTTTTTTACATTGGGCCCTTGATTTTACGTTATTACATAATGTTCTACTCACCCATATGAGTTTTGTGTCATTTGGAGCCGTTCTGAAGATATTCCATTAGGTTATATCCAAGTAACGTCTTCCTATGGGCAAATGACTTGAAGGCACAAACTGAAAT